CCAGTTATTTTCTTTGTCAAGAAGTAAGTTGCAGTTTCTAAGTAGAAACATATGAATATCTCATTAAGCATTGTCTATAATATGTCCATGATTTCCAAAGAGAATTGGCACTATAGATATAATAAAGAATTTTCCCATTAAAAGAATATTACATCCAAATTACCTGGTCGAGTACAAAATGTCTGCAAGAAAGTTATATTGGCAATTGCTACATTGCCATTCTTGTCCTCCATCATCATGAGTCTAAACTATAATACAAATTGAAAATAGAAATTTAAACAGCCATGCAATTTATTGGGATTGCGCTGATTTGCTTCAAAATAGTCGTACCTTAAAAGGCGTAGAGCTTTTATGGTTAACCTCCCCATAATGCCACTTGTCCCCTCTGTTGCCCGATTTGAACCATAAAATGAATTTTTTCTTCCCAACTGATATAGCATTTGAATACAACCCATACATTTTGAACAAAAACTGCATACATTGCTCTCCAATCATCCAAGGGCTTTCAAGCACTATTTTGCCAGGTTTCTTAGGAGAAATGAATTTTGATCCCGTATTATCTAGGTTTTAAAAACACTCTATTAGGTAAATTTTGTTAAATCTTGATATAATATAACTTAATATATAGATAATAAATAAAATGAAAATAGAAATGATTATATAATTCCGAGGAAGAAAAACATCGTTTTAAGAAACCCAAGTTTTGGACTAAGGAAACGAGTCTGGAGCTCGAATATTATGACTTTGAATCAAAGTCGAAATATTGTATTCGAACTCCAGACTCGTTTCCTTAATCCAAAACTTGGGTTTCCTAAAACGATGTTTTCCTTCCTCGGAATTTTAATTATTTCTATGTATCTTAAACTGTCGGATTGACATGGATTCTGGACTAACTAAAAATATAGCATATGTAAATTCATTCTCTGGTTGCCTGTTGCCTTCCTCAAGGAAGCTCCCTGGGACCTTTACTCTTTTTAATTTACATTAATGATCTGCCTAATTCTTCAAAGTCACTTAAATCTAGAATATTTGCTGAACAAATATATTTGCAACTTCAATATTCATGACCTCGAACAATTAGTAAACTATGAAATGGCAAATGTGAAAGATGGTGTGATGTTAATAAATTTTCTATCAACTTCAAAAAAACTAATTTTATGTTAATTAAATCAAAAAAGAAAAAAGCTCCCAACATAACTATCAACTTGATAGGTCAAAATAATAGCAAATTTTCTCTAGAGAAGAAGGACTACATTAAATATTTAGGTGTTTTCATTAATAGCTCTCTATCTTGGAATAAGCATATCTCTTATACCTGTTCAAAAATTGCAAAAAATACTGGTATTATCTCTAGGTTAACTGCTGCAATTAAAACAATTATACTATACACTGATATATCCGTATATAACTTACGCTATAGTAGCCTGGGGAAGTGCCTACAAATGTCACCTTCAAAAAAATCCAAGTAAAGCAAAACCATGTAATTAGGTTGATCTTTTTTGCCAAACTTTATGGGAACTAGAAACTGACAGTGCTCTGCCCCTCTCAAATTTACTCGAATTATTAACAGTAGAAAATATTTTCCACTTAAATATCCTCAAACTTGTTCATAAGTGGCATTTTAACCTACTACCAAAACACTTTGATAGCTGGTTCAAAGTGCCAATAAACGCCATAATTACAACACCAGATACTCCTCCAAATTAAATCTATGTATACCTGCTTCTAAAACAAACTTAGGTAAACATTCTATATCTTTTGTTGCGGCAAAGATATGGGAAAAACTTCCCCAGACTATAACTAGATTAATTAGCAACAATAAATCGTTTTCAAAACAGGCTAAATGCCATCTACTTACCTACCAAATAATTGATTCTTAATTCAACTTTATACTTACAATACTTCTACAGTACGTACTTATTCTTTATCTATTTCTACTATAATACTCTTTTTCACTTCTACAGAAACGTAAATTTTAACTTTATTACTAAAGGCTAACTAGAAAAATTACCAGTTTACTTAGCCTTTAGGCACAACATTAAGAAAACCTTATATATTCCTATTTATTCAACTTCATTTGCTATTCACTTAAATTGTAACTTAATTGTAATGTGTATTAAAAATTTTGTTGTTGTTGTTGTTGTTGTTGTTGTTGTTGCGTATAAAAGCCTTTTGCACTCACTACAGATTACAAAGCCCAAAACTACTAAATCTACCTTTTGATTAAAAAAGAGAAAGAAATATAAAAAATCGATATCAGAAAGACGATGACTTTTTGAAAGTAGTTTTTTTTTTGCCCGCCTCTACAATCTTAATTGCATGACTAAAACTGGTTCTTAATTACTTGGCTAAACAGGTCACAAATTGTTTTTTTACTACGTTACATAAAATTGCCTATTTTGTTACCTTGACCAATAGTGATTTCTCCTTCTTCCGGTTTCCACAAGCACATATTTTCCTTAAAATCGCAGTTGCCTTCCAAAAAAGAAAAGCCCAAGTTAAACTTTAAGTCAGTAGGCACCTACTTACTACAAAGAAGGATCAACGTCCGAAACTTTATAGATTAATTCATTTTTTTTATATTCATCAAACATAGGGCTAGCAATCTATAACTCACACATATACAATAATTACAATTAGCATTAAAAAAACCCATTAAGTCGTAAGAACATAAAGGCGTTTTAATCTAATGCAATGTTTTGATTTTTCTAACGCCCTAATTCCCAAAATCTTAACATTATGATAATTTCTCTTGAGTTAACCAGAAGTTCATATAACGTCATATTCCGATATTAGTTTAAATTAAGGAGGATCTACCGAGAAGGGTGCGAATATTAATGTGCTACTTGCATGAAAATGGCCTTATTTCAAAACTTCAAGCAATACAAACATATGACTTTCACATATCTATTAAAAGCAATTGCGGGAAAATATTTGTTTTGGAATTGTCCCACATCAGAGAAAGTTTGATTCAAAAGATGGAAGAACAAAAGGATGGAGTAAATGACGTCATCTACTCCAACATTTTTTGCCCAAATTATGAAGGATTTGTATCAATATCTTCTTAAGAGTGAGNCAAATGATTGTTACCGATTTGTGTGCCAAATATTTGGCTCGACAGTGTTATATTCATTGTATTTATTGTTTGGCCGTTTGCGCCAAAGGTCAAGTTTATGTGACATATGAGAGCTTTTTCGCGTACTTCAAAACAATTGCCCAAAGATTTGATTCAAACTTCTTAAAGTACATTGTTACAACTACAAAATATCCAGATTTCATGAGCTTTAAAGGTTTCGCAAATTCGCAGTTAGCCAGTTTGTTCACCCTACTTTTTGCGACTTAAAATACATCTCTAGGGAAAATAACGATTTCAATATGTTTTAATCCGTTAGCCACGCTCAAAGTCACGCTATTTATAAACAAAGTGTGGTGTTACAAGGGCTCAAAGGTATTTTTCTGTTTGCGTTACTTGGTGTTTATTTAGAGCTTCATAAAGTCGAGCTAACATCGACAGCGAATATCAACATTTCGAGGTGTCTCTAGAAAAAGTCGATTTTCTCGGTTTTATTGCGAAATTGAAGCAAACCAAATACATAGGGATTCTTAGGAAACATTCCTCTACCAACCTACAAAATATGAGCGAAATCGATTTTTCAGCCGTTGCCAACATTTGTTCGATCTTTACGGACATCCACTCTTAAAATCTGTTGCTTCATGATTATTAGACTCATATGGATAGTTTTGATTTCCAAGTCTTTGTTAATGTTTCGCAATTTTCGTCCAAGTAGCCCTTTAAGAGCGTTGGGAAACGTTTCCTCCTTCTAGCCTTCAGTTATACTGAGTTCACTATTCTCACTGATAAAAATTCCTCGAATCTTCACATAGAGGCTGAGTTAAGATCCAAAACACATTCTAACCAATGAAAACGTATTGCTGGGTCTCAGGGGACTTACCCCGTTGTATATAAACCCTGGCACGCCTTCTCGACAAATTGAACAACGTGAGTGTCACACGACCTCGCTTCGACCCCGCCCACCTCCCCTTCGGCGACTCAGCCCTACACATTATATATACCATTCAAACCTTCTCGCTGCCTCGGGAAAGTCGCGTCTCCCGTAACTTATCTCAGCCGAGACAATGAGAGGGATACTCTATTAGAGAGAATATAGTACTATATAAGGACGGTTCACACTGCTTGAAATCGCAACAAAAATCGCCGTTTAAAACGCACATTAAATCATATTTAAACTTGCCAGTGTGAAACGACCTTGAGAGGGTCGAGGGTCAAGGTCAAGCATATATTCCTTCCTCCTTGGCCTGGTATGGGATAAAGGAATGGATTTCTTCTCGAAAGAGAAAATCACCGCGCATAATACCTTGGTGTGGTTTGTTTGAAACGCTACAAATACCAGGTATCAGAGTAACTTCATATAAAAGGATATCTTCTTTGTCAGTGATAGATGGCTTTCCAACGATCAAAACCTAAAAATGCAGAGATGTAAAACACCCTATCAAGAGTTTTCCCCGCATTTACACAGAATTACAATGAACAAGTATTATAGTAACGTAAAACCAGGTATAAATATATTTATTATATTAACTCAAACTGGAGCTTTTTTGTAATCTGTGGACTGGGAGGGAGGGTGGGGGCGGTGGAGGCCTCGCTCTGCCCCACCTTGTACCAATGGATCTATGACCAAGCCAATGATCATCCATGTACCACAAACCGCTACAGCTAGCTGTGACCCTTGGGAACTAAATATGATGTCATTTTCAAGTAATTTGATACCAAATCTAACTTTTATTTGCCAACATCGGTATTTTATGTTAACACAAATAAATCTAAAACAACAATTTTGATAAGAATATCGGCCTTCTTTGGATCGGAATTCTCAAATACGTAGAAAATGGATAATAAAACAAGAAACGAGCTTAAAAAAAATCAGTATATTTACCATTTAAATAGCCTAGGTGTCAAAGAGTATTGATGATGAAAACGTGGACGACACCGACACGACATTGACACCAAAATGTGCCCAGATAAATTTCTGGAAAAAACTTTAGTGATGTAGATGATGCGCTCACAAGGGCTCCCCGGCAGTCTGAATATGGTTAAATGGGCGATTAGAAGATTTACAAGGAAAACTTCAGTAACTTGCCTGGTAAGACTGGGTATATGGTAAGTTTATTTCTGGATTCTTTGTTGTGTTTCCATTACCATTAGTCGACCATAAATTGTAAAATAGACGAGGATTTTGCATTCTGTATAGCACCACCTCTACACTACTGTGAATATTCTTTACGTTTAAGACGAGCCTCATACAAAACGGTTCAAACAATCGTGGACTTATCAAATAGGCTTTYGTTTTTCCTTCAGAACTGCGATTTCCAGCAGATGTATAGATATATGGCCGATCAGGTTCTAAACAACAAAAACATGAAAGAAAAATTGTCGTGTAATAAATATAAGTAAAATCTACTATTTAAGCTGCTGCAACTCCTCAACTCAGCATCAAAAATGAAATTATTTCTATAGATGGATGGAAAGTTTTGAACTAGGTTTCGGAGGAAATCTTATCGAAGGTAAGTCGGAATCACTTTTTATAGTCCGATGATAGCTCCCTATTCTTGGGTTTCATGTGACGTCAAGCAAAAAATCTCGAAAAGTCCAAAATATTTTTTTCTGAAGAACTCTTCTTAAATATACTTCTAGATAGTCCTATGAAATTTTCATACGAATAATCTCCTTCACGGTTACCTGCGACATCTTGAAAGGTAGCCGTGCCTCTGCATCGAAGCGATCGACAACCGTTGAGCGTGCAATGATAGAAACCTTCTTTAACACCTACAGACAATAGACTTCTGAACCTTTTACGTCACTACTTGATTTTCAATGCATTATGGGATCAGTTTCAAGAGAAAACAAAAGAAATCCGCCATGTTCTGTCCCAAACATATCCTACAATGCATTGCGTATACGGTACATGACGTAAAAGCTGCAGAGGTCTATTATTCACAGGTTTCTATCATTGCACTCTCAGCGGTTGTCTCGCTTCGATGTAAAGGCACGGCTACCTTTCAACATGCCGCAGGTAACCGTTAAGGAGACTATTCAACGCTTTGGTGGCGAAACACAAAAGTTTTAGTTTGTGCGGAGTTTAATTTATTCTACTTTTAGATAGTAAATAAACCTTAGATTGTATAAATCATTCTTTCAACTCCGTAAGAGCTTATTTTATAAAGAATATGACATGAAAACAGTTTTTTGTCAGTCAAAAGAGTATTATTCAAAAACTCTTTTAAGAGTTTAAATTAAAATTTCAAATGTGAGAAAATTCTGAAAAAAATTCGCTGAGTTATGCCATCCAAAGATCGGAATTTTAAGCGAACAGATAGCGCTGACGGTTGCAGAAACAACATGAACTGGACAAATAACCCTCTGGCATATTAGTATGCTTCAGTCCTCAAAACCCTGAAAAAACGGATTTTAATATTCATTTTGGAATGTCATTTATTTACTGGCTATCACTAACATCATAGTATGATAAGCACTAGTTTGTTGCTATAAAATATAAGTTGCTTATCARTTCTCCGACATAAAATTCAAATTCTAATTTAGGAACTGATCAAAGGAAACCTATGCATGGGAATCCCGACCGCATCGAGGCAGCAAAACTCATACTGACATTATTACTGAAACTATAAGACCATTATCGATCGACATGAAGACCAGACAATCTACAGTGTCTTTTTGGCCTGTAAAATTTGCAAATCTTCTGTGTGGTACAACAATCCCCTTTTTAGCATTTCAATATCCGATCAGGTTCACGCTACTGAGTTCAAAAACTTAAAGACACGGGCTGGCATCGGTTTTGATAGCCTCTSTATTAAAGCAGACATTTTGACGAGCCATTACGCAACATTCAAGTACAGTCCTAGTGTTGAGTTACAGAATTGAGGTTCTTTACACCCATCGAAAACTAATTTTCCTTGAAGGGTATTCTAAACAACAACGATATTCTCCTGTTCCTGTTCCTGTTCGCCGCTACAATCGTTGACAAAATCCTTGGACCATTCCAGCGAAATTCCTCATTTTAAGCACCACCCGCAGACAATTTCATCCCCCCTGACCCCCTAAATGCAATGTTGTCATTGATCATGTTACCATAGTACACAAGCAAGACCCAACATTGGTGARAGGGGGAAAACTGTGAAAACATAAAGGAGAAAAATGTTATCCTGGTGATAAATAATTGYRCGGTCCAAGGTATTTTGGCAACGWTTGTAGATTCTCATTAGTACTGGTTTTCTTTGTTTACATCTTTTGAGATAGGAGTTTGTGTGCRTATACTTTTCGCTTAAATAAAGGCAAACAGCCTTTAACACAAGAGTTTTATACACTTCTCTTCGAGCCAGAGTTTGTGTATGTAAGTCATCAGGATCGTTCATGCTGTCTTTATCTAGTTTTCTTGGTMTGATATACCGCGTACGGATTGAAATGCGATTCTATATTCTGTCGATCACTTCAGCATTAATTTAGCTATCTTTTTTCATTCTGAATYGCCATAATTTCGTCTGATTCTGACTATTCTACTTCCACATCGGTATAATTGCATAATAAAGTGCTAGTTTCTGACTCACAATCTGATATATTTGAGAGAGGTTTTACTGGCGCAAAGAGAAGATTTTGGAGTGCAGCAAAACTAAATATGTCATATGCTCTTTAAGGTGACTTTTCTTTGAAATAAAGTCATCAAATAAAGTGATCAAAATTTACAAAGGAAATCAGGTTTTGAATCAGCCGCCATCTTGCCATGATCAAAGTTATCATCCAAGATGGCGTATCCATACAAATTAAAAAATATTTCAAATCTTTATTCGCTTCTATCTTCATCAGAAAGTAAGGACGTAAAGCTCGTACATTAGATAAATTTACTATGCTCTTTATGACTAGCTACTTGGTTTTTGAAAATAACGACTAATAAATTTTTACTTCGGGGGTTGAAACCCAAGAATAGCTCGGCGTGGACTGACAAGAAGCTACAAGAGATATGCTTAGCTTGAATTTTCATTGCGGCTCCTGCTAGCCTGAAAACATAAATGCTTGGAGTTGTCTATAAAACCTCGCCGTCGAAAGTTAACAGATACACAATGAATCGAAAAATCATAAATGCTTATCAAACGCTCACCAGAGAGACACCTCAAAGATTGCTAAAAAATATTATTTACCTGAGGTATTTTTGTAAGCAGGTCGTTTTTCTCCATTCATCCATAGAAGGCCGTCTTCAGTCATCTTATTCACGACTGTCCGCCATCCACAAGTAGTTCCATTAAAGCTGCAATTTGCTGCAAATATCATCCAAGGCAAAAACTTTAATAATTATGTGCATAAACGTTTGCTGTCGATATTTCGGGAAAAACAGGAGGAGCCAACGGGGTCTGTTATTCTAAATAACTGTTCTTGCACAAATTTTTTCCTGGGAAAAGGATTTTTAGCTACATTGTTGACAATCTAGACAAGCAAATGTGGCGCCCTTCCTTCTTTAAGATAATTTTGTTCCTGGCAAACWTTTTTTGACCTTAAAAGGTCAAAAAAGGCTTATATAACGTTTTTATGGTCAAAAACGGCTTATATTGTTTTAGTTAGGAAATTTTTCTTTTCCTGGCAAAAATTCATAGAAAGTATTCCTYGCCTATATATAGAGTTCTTTTTTCCTARATTTTTCGCTGTCAACCAGTTATGGCTTACATCTGTCTGGGACMTAAGAACAGATATAGTTCTCCCAGGATCCCGTCGGCTCCYCCTAGAAAAAGAGGCTAGTATCCTTCCCTACTCCAAAACAATCAAAGCCCATTCAACAAGAAAGTGTTGATAAGCAAACGACATGAAACTRCATTGAATATTTCATGATTTATCAAAATAAACGAGATTAAGAAGCTGTTATATTATTCAAGTAAAGAACCACCAGATTTTGGCAACGATATTGGAGARTTACTAGAACAAGTACAAACGAATAGCGGAAATGATTTGTTCAAGAATACGAATTACCTGAGAACGAAGTGGAGGAGAAAATAAAGCAGTAYACACCGAAGAAAAAGATAACTCGTCTATAGCATTTTATCTGACATCTCCGTCTAGGATTAGAGACGATATCGTAGCATTGCTCACTTCCTTTTGACCCTCGCAACCGCCAACCCTTTGAATATATTCACAATCCAGGTATCTTTACACAACGTGGTCTTCGTTATGCACTGCTTTATTTTCTCCTCCACTTCGTTCTCACCCAGCGGCARGCCAAATCTGTGCTGTGATGTGTCCAAATCTCTAGGTTTTCATCCTTCTTGGATTCTTCAATATTTTCGTTCTCAGGTTCTTGTCCTTGGACAAAGGTATGCGTTTGATTTTTGCACACATCATTTCAGCTATTTATACGATATAGAAATGAAAGAAAGTTATAGTGCTTAGAAGGAGGCAATTCCGGGAGAAGTCCCTTAGGAATAAATTCGGAAAAATTAATTTCCGACCTCGCTGGGATTCGAACCCACGACCTTCGGATTTGTACACCGATGCTCTACCAGCTGAGCTACAAGGCCAGACTGGGAGCAGGTCGGGGTGAAATAGATGTTAAGGTTGCGGTAATAGAATAATGTAAAGATATGAAGCTATTTGTTTGTACTTGTTCTAGTAATTACCAAATATTGTTACTTAAATCTGGTAGTTCTTAACTTGAATAATAAAAAAAAAACAGCTGGTAGGAGTGATGAAAACATCGTTGCCCTCATCGTCCGGTACTAATGGCTATCCGTTGACTATGAGGTCTATGATGCGATACTAAAACTGAGACCTTTGCTAGTGTTGGGTTGTCTCAATGGTGACGACACTGTTATAAATCTGACAACACTAGTGTTGTATCAAATTTGCAGGGTCGATCACCTGACCAAATAGAAAGCTCTTAATGGATTAATAGTTCATGMATTATTAATGAGTTTTATAATATTGTTTCTGTTAGACTACGTCTCCCTRACATTTAGTTAATAMGTTAATAATAGATTTTAATTGATTCGTCAGCAGTTTCATAGTTTGGTCTGGAAATTGAAATACGCCAGGTCATGCGTACCAGTAGTTTTAAATTACCAGGAAAWWTAGCGTTAAATTACCAGTAGCGTTTGATGTCCAGAAACTTTTATGCTGTACTGTTTAGATCGATATTGAATTTACAGAATGATTAGGAAATGTTCAAGTATCCGTAWTATTGTATTATTTTCTATAAGTAATTACTTTAAGTTTATGATGCAGTTTAAAAATGTTCACTTGATCGATATTTGTAGAATAAGCCAAGGTCGTCCTAAATGGGGAATTCCCCTCAGTATGGAGTTATGCCATAATTGGTTATTGTTTATAGTTAGTATCAGATTATTATTTGGGTTTCGTCTAATTTTGTAAAACGTAAATCAAGCAATGTAAAAATAATAGTAGAGCAGAGCGCCAAACAAGTGAGTAATATAAAGCAGAAAACAGAACAGAAACTAAGAGCAACGTTTTCACTGCCGCGACGGTCCCTTGTGGTCCAACATTTGTCGAGATTAAAAGTATTTTTCGTCTATTTTAATTGTAAAAGTGGTTTTCAGGCAGAAAGAGTTTAAAACAACAGCAGATATCCATAAACAGAATTGTTTAGGATACCTGATTGTGAGTTCTTGGGCATTCGTTGAAGGTTGAACCTTTTGTCTTGGTTTTTGCAAAGCGTCAGGTTATCGGAAAAGCTGATATCATCCAAAGCAATTCTCGAACTGTCTGTGGCACTGACAACAGCCTCAAAGGAAACCTTTTAAAGATAAAAAGATTTGACAAAAAACAACGCCATTATATAACACTTAACAGATCTATCGGGCTGAGAATATACATTTATGTGGTTACRCAAACTCTTACTTTATATCCCTGACGGTAATCAAATAAYAAGCATGACTTCCTCCAAACGTTACGTCCTTGGTTGCCATATCGGACCCAAACAATTTCTTYTMTCAAGGCCTTAACGGTAACAGCTAGCGTCTCTACATTAGTACCATCCATGATGTAACGGAACGACATCGTTTTTGGCTTTTCAACCTCACGACTAGTTAGTATTGCCTTTCCATTGTAAATATCATTTTTGGAGGAGTTAACAATAGCGTAGCAGCCAGATCCTATCCATATTAACAGATGCTCAGTTAGGTGCGAATGGGTTCTATTAGCAGCGCGAAGGGACGGCCTAAAACCACGTTGCGAAGAACAGTCAACGCAGAGCTGCTAGAGATGGCGTCACCGTGTCGCGGCCCTATTTCCAACTAGGGAAGATGGGGATAACTAGCWAACAGCTCGAAGGAACGGCATGAACATTCTGTTCTATTTTTCATGATTTTACAAACATACCTGTTTTTTCCTTACCTTTGTTYAGCTCCCATTTTATTTCACTTTCTTCACTGTTTGACCATAAACAGAAAGAGTTCTTATATGAAATGTAGTCTGTGAAACATAAAAAAACCCCGAAACAATGATTTTGAAGTCTGCTATAATTTCACGGTGAAGTGAAAAATATTTATTGCACGTATACCTTCCATTCCCAGAAATTTGATACAGTCAGCGGTTCGATGTAAACACGCGGGMTCATGTATGAGTTAGGCAAGGGAACGTGACTTTAACAGAATGAAAGTGGTTTTCTTACTAAAAATCTACTTGYATATCGAAGTTCACGCTCTCTGAACAGTAATTTCCCTTTGTATTTAAAAAGCGACGCCTTTCTTTCATCTGACATATATTCTTYGTATTGTTTCGATATTMYCCGCCAAAATCTTTCACACAGGAAACCCGAAATGCTTATTTTGCTAAAAAATGCTTATTTTGCTACACGAAGAGACATGGGAGGTTACTAAGGTATAAACAGAGACAAATGGCGTGCTAGATAATGTAGAAGTACAAAATCTCTTGTTTCTGCTCAAAAAAATCGACTTGGACCTTCRCATTCCACAATCCGAGAGGTCAAAGAATGGCAGTTCTTCGAAGGAAAATGGAACCGGTTTAGCCAAAGTGTTTTTTATCTTTTTTTGGCACAGAAATGTAGCTTAGTATGTGCTCTAACGAATAAGATTTGCGGAGATGAAAAATCTGGTAGTTAAGACATTTTTATGAGGACCTCAACAGCCGGTTGTACAGTGTTTATAGGGTGTTTTTACAAGGAAAGTATGGCGGGTGACGGCTATTTTGGTGAGTATTTTAATTTGATTTTGGAACCGGTTTAGGACTTAGGACTTCGAAACGGCTTATTTTATATCGCCATATCAAAGACAATACATCAATCTTTAAAATACGATTTGCGGAGAATGTCGAACATCAATAACAAAAGAAATATTTGAAGATGAATAAAGTATTACATACATTTCTTTGTATTTTATTGCTCATTAAAATGCCGTGAGTTAGCCGACCAGATAATTAATGCGCATGTGTCGCGCCATGTTGTATCGAATTTCTGGGAATGSTACGAGTTTGTAGACATAGTTGACAGATCTGGATAACCCGACGCCGTCTCTGCAATCTGTAGCTTTTTCGTAGCTATTGTACTTTTCCTTATTTTTGCCGTTATACGTGATCCAGCATTCTACCTCGTTTTTGATTCCAAAATATTTCAAGCCACGTCGTTTGACTTGCTCAGCACATTTTTGAATGTCAACTTTCAGATCTTTCAGATCAATCAGCGCGAAGCGAAAACTTGTTATCAAAACCCCGAGCGGAAAACAAACTGTCGGCAAAAACAATACCTACAGGGGTAGGGTGAAATCTGTCTTTCCTATCATGCGCCAATCAAAGTGCAGTGAAATACTGGTATTCTTCTATAACTGACTTTGAAAAACTAGAGCGGATTTCGTATGAGTGGGACACCGTTACCACACGGTTACCGCACAGTTACCGGACCTGGCCTGCACAATTTTGGTGAACCAACGGGGCACTAGAATTTGGTTACAGTACGACTACGGTCACAGTACAGTACCGTCCGTTTCATACGAAATCCGCTCTATTAAATTGAATGTCATGGATACGAGTCTTGATACGAGAAGTACGCTTTTGCGTTCAGCACAAAGATAGTCGAACCCCCCCCCCACCCCCCACCTAACTATAACTTTAGTTATAAAACAAGAACAAGCGAGTCGAGTCAACTATAGCAACGCAAAAATCATTAAAGACGAACCCATGCGGGTGCAAGAGGTGGCTTACTCATCGTGACCAAAGTGTAAAGACAAAAAATTTCAGTAGGAGCTGACGGGGTCTGTTCTGCTAAATAACTGTTCGTGTATGAATTTGTTCCTGGGACTACATTAGCTACATTGTTGAAAATCTCACAAGCAAATGTGGCGCCTTTGCTTCTTTCAAATGATTTTGTTCCTGACAAAGGTGTTCAAGTCCAAAAAAGGCTTATGTAACGTTTTTATGGTCAAAAACGAGTTTGTTATTACTTGTGCTTGTTATGTCTAAGAAATCATCAAGTTTGTCAGTTTCTACATCTTCAATTTATGTGGAAACTACATCCTCAATTTATGTGATAAAATTGAAAAAATCAATAGTTGAAAA